AAGTCCGATCTGTGTAGTGAGACCCTGTACACCCTAGAGACCCTGGTGACCCTGTCCTAAATACACTTCCAAAAAAAGTTTTAGGACTTCAGTAAATTAGCTTCAGCATGGCATATTCAGTATATAACTTTATTACTCACTTTCCAACCATCACAATTCTATAAGAGTTAATTTTATTAAATGTGAAATGTTTGTCACATATTAAATCACTTCATATCTACACTTAACTTTACAATATTAATGAAGTAAATACATCTATTTTTATTGTATACTAGGTGCAGTGGATTCAGCAAAGACGTGGTGCAAGAATAACTAGCTGGAGGGGCCGGGGAGATGGCTCAGTGGAATAAGCAAGGGCAAGGGCCTGAGTTCAATCCCCGGTTCCAAAAAAAAAAAAGAATAAGTAACTGGATATAGGCTATCTGTGGTAGTTTCTAGGAGATTAGAGAGCCCACATTGTTTTCCAGGCCAAATTCATATGACAGATATACTTTGTATAATCTGTACCACTTTACAAATATATGAACTGTCTTCCATCCCTTAAACTTGGGGGTTTTGGCTGGGGTGATAGCTCAATGGTCTAAACACCTGCCCGGCATGCACAAGGACCCGGGTTTGATCCTGGGTACTGCATCCCTTGCCATCCTAGAACTTTGGGCATACCTTTCCAGCCACCGAAACTGGGTGTGGTGGTGCACACCTGTAATCCCAGTGCTGGGCAGCCTAAGACAAGAGGATCACTATGAGTCTGAGTTGTGTAGTGAGACCTTGTACCAAATAAATAATTAATTTTAAGTATCAGGAGTTTTTACATAAAATTCAGATTCTTGATCTCATTGCACATAAGTAAGATGCTACCACTGGGGTTGGAAATTTATTTCCACCGGACAGTAATTAACCAGGAGTGAATAGCAATTTTTTCATATAGAGAATATATAGTACTGCTAGTTCTCCAGGTGTTGTCAGTTGGCTTCATTGAGGTTGGCCGCCTGGAGTTTTCCTATTATTATTATTAC